GAAGTATAATTGTTATAGCTGAGACTGAAGTTTCGTGTTCGAATGTCGAATATTTGAAAAAAAATGTAATCAGTTGACTCTTCATAGTCAAGTATTTGAAAGATGCATTCATTCTGCAATTAAATTCAAACTTCAAAATATCGACACTCTAATATTTTCGAATGTACTTAAAAGTGAGATTGAAATAATGTGTTCATTTGAATCCTGCTAATCGAATGTTCATTCATTTGAATACCTGTAAAATTATCTAATACAGCTGAAGTCGAATATTTGGGTTCGAGTGAAATACTCAGATAACTAGATTATTTGCATCTGAGTAGACATTATTCGAAAAAATGCACTTTTTCGACCATTCGATATTTGATTTGGCCGTGTTCAAATTCACTGATTGTATAGTCAGACCAAGGCTCCTAAAATTCAAGAATTTGAATTCAAAATCTTAAGTGGCGATCAAACATTTTTTATTCTTGAACATTTCATTACGAAGGAATATTCGATATCTACTATTTCAAAAATGTTTTTGGCGTGCTGAACATGAGTATTTATGGACTTTCGCAGCAGACTCTAGAAATAAATACAATTACAGTGCTGAATGTATCTTCTACTGGATCCAAGTTTTGATCTTTTCTTGCAATTCAAAGCGTAAAGGAAATCTATAATTCAAGCTATCGCAGAAAACAATTGCAAGATATTTTCTGCTCATTCTAAAGAGCATGTTCAAACACAGATATTAGATAAATGATGAAAAAATCAGTTATTTTCTATATCAACTTAATGGCTTGCTTTAAAGCCTTGTTATTAAAGAGTTAATTAGGCAAGTTTCGTTAGAAGTCTTGAGCCGTCACGAACGAGGTTGACAACGGCCATTTGTGATATTACCAGTAAAATTGCAGTTTCAAAAACATGAGCAGATAAACTGGTGCGTTAATTTTGAAGATGTTCACAAAATCCAATTAGTCTGAGTCAAGTTATGCCGATACGGCACTTCCGACGCGATATTGTTTTTTTTCACAAATTATTGAGCCGGCAGAGACGGTACTACAGGTGGAAGTGTAAGCTACTTTTTATTTTTCAGCTGGCTCAGCATTTTATTTAGTCCGATAGTGAGACGTCGTATCTCTTAATTTGGAATAATTTCAGGCTGAAGAACTTTTCATAC